ACAAATTTGAACAGAAGACAGAATTATAAATGAGCACTTGACCATTCAGACCTTGTTTTCATGGGTTTGGGGTTTGGTTGTGGTTTTTTTTTGTTGTTTTTTTAAATATATGTTGGAGTTTCATTATGCGTTTACTCAGAAAATATGTTCACATCCCTCTAGAGAACTAGCAGGGGATTAAAAAAAACACCCAACAAAACCCAAAACTCTATCTATGCCATCTCATCTGCTGCCTCCTCCCTCCTGCTGGCCATTGCCCATTGAGTCTACATTTATTCTGTATCATAGACCAGAGTAAGCAGGTTACTTCTGAAACATTCATTTGCACACAAAATATCACAGTGTGAGCTGGCTGAACACCACAGGGTACAAGATTGCTACAAAGAAAGATGCCAAAATCGCATTGTTGCAAATGATACTGGCTGAAAAGCCTGAATTTACTAGATGGTTTTTTTGAATGCATGTAAAAAAAATAATTCCATTTGCACAGTAACAGGTGTGTGTTTTTCCTTTAATAGCTACTTAATCACAAAATCATTTACAAGGCAAACTTCTTCAGAAAAATACCATTTCCTACCCCATATAGTATGAAAAAAACCCAACTGCATGACTGGGTGTGTTGGGATGGCAGTGGAAACCACCTCTCCCAGAGTTCAAGACATAAGTAAAGCAATGGGAGACACTGTGGTTCAAAAGACTCATGCAGAGTCTTCAGAACTCTTTCCTTACATCCTCGAACAAGGATTAAGAACAGGTTGGGCAGCCTTACTTACGCTTTACTTTATTTTTACAGAGTTTTTTTCCCTGTACCTAAAGAAGACAAAGTTGTCCCTTGTCAGATATTCAACATCATAAACTTAGGTGCCAAAAATGGCCCTGCCCTTCCATCCCCTCCTTGTTCAACTCATTAACCACCAAGTCACACAACCTCCCTCTCACTTCTCAGTTTTAAAAAAGGCTTGTGTAAAAAAACCCAGTAGTTTCATTCAGGCAGGCAAAAGCTGTTCTTTCAGCCATTTCTCACTAGAGGGAAATGTTGTTAGTGCTGCTGAAATGGATGGGAGCAGGGTGCTGGAGCTTTGCAGGGGTGACTAGGGAGCATCGAGGAAGTCTCTTCATTACTTTTTTTTTTTTTTTTTAAGCTCCTCCTCTTTTAATCTACTCATATTATCAAGAAGTAAAGGTACAGACTATTATCTGGATAGTGGTTTTAGTTTGGATGCTGAGGAAGTAGTAAAAGGCCAAAGTTGCAACCTAAGCACATAATTTCAGAGAAACTGAAAAGCCAAAGGCAGGTAAATAGGCACTTATTAGCTAAAACTTAACAGCAGCAGAAAAAGTTCAACATATTTGTGAACTATTTAGACACAGAACCCAATGCACACACTTACAAGTTTGCACTTTCCACACATAACGCTGTTGTGTGTACGCGGAGGTGGGAGGCTGAGCACTGAAATATTCCCTCAAATACTCCTGATATAGCAGACTCAATCCTTAGAGCTGCTTATTTGGGTTTTTAGACACTACCTAGACTTCATAGTTGAAGAAAAAAAACATCATAGAAAAACTGGGCTCATCTAAAATGGGGTTCCACTCATAGTCATGTTTCCCTTATGCATGAGATAGATGTAGCTGAGGAAAATGAGTGGAGATACCTGCTTGAACAAGGGTCTGGTATTCAAGCCATATCTTACTGTCCTAAAAACCTGAAACCTCGAAATGCCTTCACTGTCCACAAGAAAAATAAAATAAATAAAATAAAATAAAATAAATAAAAATAAAATAAAATTCTGCTAGTTACAGATTTCCTAATTAGACAGACTTAATCCACATCATATATTATTCATGGGTTTCTGTTTGTTCCCCTAGTTAAATTAGCAAAGTACCAATATTACTGTCCAGCAAAACATTTCCAGGGACACCTTCAGAGTTTCACAAACACGGACAAATACACTCGATGTCACTGAGCCCTCTGCACATTTCAGAATACTGTATCATTTTGATCATCTACTTTCTGATAAACCACTGATTCCTGTAAACACCAATAATGTGGAATTCTGTGCTTATTTCCCAGCCCCTCAAAAAAAAAACCCACCACCCCCCCAAAAAAACCCCCACTAAATACAGTACAACACAAAGTTTTCGAGCAATAAATGTATTAAAAAAAAAAAATAATCTCACTTATAGATCACAATTTGTCTGAGCAAAGCACTGTTTAATATTTTAATATTTGAATTGATGGTAAGTAAACTGTTCCATGCATCAATAGTGGTTAGAAGTGTTCTTTATGAATTAAATAATGGTTTTACAGTGATTTTTCTCTCCCCGTGGTGTGCCAAGGGAACAAGCAGGCTAAAGGAGTTGGCAGAAGCGCCTTGCTGATGTTAAAAGGTATGTGCTTAGAAAGCAGAAAACTGCTGAGTGAAAGAACATACGCTGCTAGGACTCTATCCCCCCACCCAGTTTAAAAAGGCAAACTCAATGGCAGCAAAATAGTAAAGCAATTCCTATTATCAAACAGGACTCCTTCTTCCACACCCAATAAGGCACTTTTTTTTGTGACATTTAAAAAAGTGTGGTTTTTACTTTTCAAAGACACTTTTCATGCACCACATCTTTCTAAATTAGTGTAAAAAAAACAAAAACAAAACCCCACCAAACCTCACCACTCAAATCCTAAAGAAAACATTATTAATGAAACACTGCATTTTAACACTGTTGTCATATAAGACTAAAAATTTTAAAGGAAACATTTTATTTTCATTTGAGGAACCCCAAATTTTATCGCCTTTTGATTTCTCGTAACTGCCAACAAGCTGAAAATTCAAAAAAAAACTGCACAGCAGAGGGGTGAAGCTCCCTGCAGTGCTTTAAACCACCAAGGAAATTCCAGCAAAAGTGGAAATATCTGCTTTAATGGCATTCAGATTTCACAGACTAACACGGAAATCACAAAGACTAGGTCAGCAAAGTTAAAGGGTAAAATACAACTCAAGTTGTACTGGGTTGTTAAGTCATTAGTCGTTAATTTTAAAACTATGAAAAAAAAAACCAAACCAAACCAAACCAAAACCCCCACAGAAACAAACAAACAAACCAACCCCCAAACCCCCAGATTATTCTGCTTATCTTTTAAATACACCAAAGGGGTTTCCCATTTTCCTCTCAAGTATCTCCAAAGATGCCACTAAGCACAGTGACCACATTCAAACTTGTCCTGCTTTTTCTATACAATTGAAGAGCTACACAAGAACCCAGCTTAAAAAAACCCCTAAAACAACAAAACCAAAAAACCCACCAAAAAACCCCCACAAAAACCAGCTGTGAAGCCACCTCTTGTCTTTTAGAGATGAAACACGGGTGCTTCCTCCAAGACCTCCCCATACCAAACCTGACAAAAATCTGAAGAGGCTCAGAGCTGATGCTTCCTCCTGGGCAAAAGCAAACCATATGCTGAATGCTAGAAGCAGCTTGCAGAGAATATGAATATTGGCTTAATATTTTGGTAATTACCAGGGGAACAGAGGTGCAGGTAACCACCACAATGGCTTTTATGGAATCAGCCATACTTCCCATGAGAAAAGAGAGCGACTCTCATTTTTTAAATGTGAATTTCAAAGACCTTTTTAAAAGTTTCTTACTCCTGTACTTACAGGTAATGAAGCATTTATGTAAGTGTAGCTTCAGATCTTTTTATTTCCTTAGTCATTCACCACCCAGTGTAGGGGACTTTGCTATAGAGTGAACACCTCAGGTGAGGTATGGCTTAACTAGAGAGGGTGGGGAGGAGGAAATTTTGAAATGTGAATCAGAGAAGGTCTAAGCTTGACCTTTAATGATAGGACAGGCAGTGAGACAGACAACTTTCCCCCCTGAAGCTATGGATGCAGTCATCACGCAGGTGTGCTGGCTCAAATGTTTCCTATAGGGAGAAAGCAATCAAGAATCATCATTTCTGTCACTGGGTAAGACAAGAATCCATTTCTTAGTGATTGCTACGGCAGCTGGAATCTTCAGTTTGGGATTTGTCACTTCTTGACCCATTTCTGGATAAAACTACTTTTAAATGACAGGTGTAGAACCTACATACTTTTCACAGTCATATAGTAAATGTAAAAAAAAACCATACATAGGCACATAACCGACACAGAGAAGAAGTATTTGTAAGGACATTTATAATAAATGGCACTAACCACCTTTATTAAGATTTATTTTTTTCTTTTATGAAAAATGAATAGGATTCTTTTTTTTTTCCCTTGTACGCAGAGGAAGAGCAAACTAATGGCAAAAATCAAGACCACGGTCTTATTTCAATACCATCTTTGTAGCCACAAAGATACGACTATTTAACAGACAAGAAATACTGTTTATTGCAGACTTTAAGCTGATTCATGTGAAAAAGGCACTATGAAACTTAATCAAACTAGATGATTAAATTTGTCTAAATTAAGTGATATTATATATTATATATAATACATATATTATATATAAAATCACACGACCATGTGAAATAACAGAACATTTTGTGACAAAAAATCATTGATTCTTCAAAAATAATATTTGATGGTTCCTTTTCTCCCCCTTTTGCCTCCAGGAATCCACTTTTCCAAAACATTTATAACGAACAATAGCTTTTTACATAAGGGAAAAACTGACCAACACACAGAGAAGTCTAGATTATACACTGTTCTTTTGATGGCTTAAGTTACAAACAAAAAAATGCAAGTATATTAAAAAAAAAAAAAAAGTACTGTTAATTGTTTCATGGCTACCTACAGCAGATCTGATCACTTCTTTGAGCTGAGTTGTGTTATTATTTTCTAGCTATTCTCTCTTGTGCAATATTATAGTTCATCACGAGCGAAGTATTGATAAAATCAATGTACAGAGTATTATTTTGCTATAAACAGCATCATTAGTAATAAAACATCTTGGGAGTGATGCAAGAAAGATTCAGTCTATGTTGGGCTGCTGTGAATTCTCTAAACATTTCTCTCTGATTGCTGGCATCAACGACTTAAGGAAACATACTGCAGCCAAACGAATGACAAGAAAGACTGAGCCAAAAATACCTAATTGCACATTGCAGCAAGGGATGGGATTCAAAATCTTATTATTACTGAAGGGGTCAAATGCTTTTTTATTGCTGGCTCAGCTTCCCTCGGATGAATCACAAACAAAGATGTGTTCCAGTTTATCTGTCACGTTAATTCCACAAAGCCAAGACTCCTCTTTGGGTGTAAATGAATCACATGCCAATATTTTAACCTGTCCAGAACCTTCACTGAATTTCTCATTTGTGCATTTTTAACGATGAGAAGCCAGCAGCAGGTACTTTTGTAGAGACTACTGTGATTTTTCTTTATGGTGCCTAATTACGTTTACAATATAGTAAGACATTCCTCTTCACTGCTTACTAAAGAAAAGCTGGATGGTAAAATGCCATGGAAAAACAGAATTAAAGAAAAGAGGAAACACATTTAGTGGCTGCTTCCTTCATCAAAGGACTCCACACCTGAATCTGTGGCGGCTGCACTGATTTTTTCTTGTCGTCTTCGCATAATTTCTTGCAGTTCTGAACTACCACTGTTAGCCTATAAACAAACAAAAAAAGAAAAACAGTTTATTTGTGGTTTTGACATGTGATGAATTTCCTCTGCCAGCATTTATTAAGATAGATGTTTCAACAACTTAAACTCACTTTGCAGCTCCAGAACTAAAAAATGCATTAATAATCTCATTAAATAACATTTAAAATAGGCAAGTATTTACACTATCCTTAAATGTGGACCAGGAATGAACCTGCAGACACTAAAAAGTGTCAGCTTGACTTTCAGCACTGCTGAGCATCTTTAATTCTCACACAAGCCCCCAAAAGTGTTGGATATTTCTGGGCTGAAATATGGCTTCAGTAAAAAGCAGGGTTAAAGCTCAGCAAGTTTATTAGGATTCCACCCTTGAGTACTTAAAAAATCAGGGCAATCATCTTTAGAAATTAAAGCACATCATAAACGCTCAGGTGGTTTTAGATTTGTGTAAACACAAAATTCACGTGTGCAGATGGATTTGCACAGCCAAGGCCTAAGTAAAGATTCAATCTTCGTGTCTCACATTACACAACACACCATCATGCATTTGCTACATAGAGAGACAGGTTTCAAACTGAGAGCACAGAAATAAGGCTCAACTCTTATTACTATATTAGCAACAGTGAAGTATTGTAAGGACAAGGCTTTATTTCACATTTTAGGGGAAAAAAACAGGCCTGCTGAGCTAGCTGCAAACAGATTGCTTCAACAACATAAATTAAGTTACTAGCAAGGGCAGGAGATGTATCCACCAGAGCAGAACTTTCCAAAGTGTGCATGACTTTGAATAAAACTAGAGGATTATAAAGCAAGAGCCATATCCACTACTGTGTTATTTGGCTCTGACGTGACCTGCCAAGCTTCAGAACTAGAGCTTCCAAAATAGCCTCTGAATAAGGAAGCAGAAACTGTTTTTGAAATTTGTAAAAACTTTCAGGACAGTTAAGGGGAAAAAATCCTTCAATTGATTCTGAACCCTGAAAATTTACCCCATTACATAAATTTAATTTAGAGTTATTCCATTATATCCATTACAATGCATTATCTGATTACATTACCTGTCAGACAGGTTAGGTGTCCACAGGGAGGGAGGGAAGGCTAGGATGCTTCTCCAAGGTAAATTACCATTGCTGGCCTTTCCCAGAGTGGAAGGGCAAAGCAAGGGACTTCTTATAATTGACTCTCTAAAGGTGAGAGAGCAGTTTTATTTGTCTTAATTCATCTTGTCCTTGCCCACTTGGTTTCAGATACAGTGCAGCAGTCACCCATTACTCAAGTCATGCATTAAAAAAACCATCAGCAGATACCCAACAACGTGCTTTATCAGCGGTCACATAGAAATATTTTTCCAAAAATGACTGAGCAGCTGCGGCTGAAACAGTTTACCTTCCTGATAACATCGGTAACAACATGACTGATGAGCCTGAAATGCGGCTTAACATGGTGTGGCACAGCACAACGGGCTCATCCTACTCGGAGGCAGGGTACAGTGTAGATAAGGAGCCTAGAGTTGTTCTTGGGAATACAATTTTTGGAACAGACTGCTAGACCTTGGCCTAAGTGATTTACTCAGCTTCATCTCTAACCAGATCATGAGATACCAGTAAACTCCATCATTTAATCCCACTTCTCTGCCTGGGTTGTTCCTTTCACTGAGGTGTCAAAGAGAATAAGCTATTCGTCCAGGCAATTTGATATATGTATTAGATAAAAACCAGTTTTAAAGCAGTGTGTGTCCATGCTTCCCATTGATGGCCTAGGAAGACAATGAGAATGTAGACGCTATTCTTCCAGGCAATTTGATATATGCATTAGATAAAAACCAGTTTTAAAGCGGTGTGAGTCCATGCTTCCCACTGATGGCCTAGGAAGACAATGAGAATGTAGACCTGAAGTGTTCCCTTCTGGAGATGACAAAGGTGGTGGTCGGGATATCATGTCGTGTCTGTACGCATATTTTCTGTAGAGCTTTTCAACACCAGAGCTTGAAATGCTCAAGGAAAGTTAAGGAAATGGACACATGAAAACTCCTAATCATGGAGACTATTAATATTTGCACTTTGCAATGAAAAAGTCAATCCATGTATATGACCAGACAAGTTGCTGTAATGAACTGTACTTGGCATACAAGGTTAACTTCAACTCTCTGGAGCAGCCCCAGAAGACAGTTCCTGAGAGGGATACGCTGATCAGTACAAAGAATGTGGTCCCTCCTCCTGAGACACTGCTACTTGCCACCACGATTTCCTCTGGCAGAAAGTGGCCTTCCAGTACCTGAAGGGGCTCCAGGAAGGCTGGGAAGGGACTTTGGACAAGGGCAAGGAATGACAGAACAAGGAGCAATGGCTTTAAACTGGAAGAGGGGAGGTTTAGATGAGATATTAGGAAGAAATTCTTCACTGTGAGGGTGGTCAGACACTGGAACAGGTTGCCCAAGGAAGTTGTGGATGCCCCCTCCCTGGAAGTGTTCAAGACCAGGCTAGATGAGGCTTTGAGCAACCTGGTCTAGTGGAAGGTGTCGCTGCTGATGGCAGGGAGGTTGGAACAGGATGAGCTCTAAGGTCCCTTCCAACCCAGACCATTCTATGATTCTATGATAAAGGAGGTGTTTGGCCCTGGCTGTGGCCAGCTCTCTGCTCTCTGGACACACTGGTCTCACACAAAGTTATCTTTCAGCTTTTGCTTTTCCAGGCCCAGAAAGCTGCAAAGACCTAAAGACCTTCTCTGCACTTGCAGTCTGTTACTTGGTCACTTTTATGCAGGGGCCATAAAACTCCATTAGGAGTCTTCCTTTCTTGGATATTTTAAACTCTGGTGTGATTCAGGGCTGAATAGAGTTACCATGAAAATAAAATAAAACAAGTGAATGCGTTGCACTTATTAACATTTTTCCTCATATGGGTAAAATTACTAAATTTCAACAGTAATTGGAATTCCAATTACAAAATACTGATTTCCTCTACCTGAGGTAGAAGAACACTAAAAAGAAAATTGCAGCTGCATAAAGGTGAAGATCTGGTTGTCCATATTTGGGGCTGCAGCCCCAAATCTGAGAGGTAGGGCTTTCACTGGCCTGCAGAAATAGTATATGAATTCAGAAACATTTGTGGAAGGTCTCCAGTATAGCTAACAAATAAAGATGAGGCATGGAGTTCTGTAATGCTAGAGAGCATGTGGGTTTGCTCTGTCTCGGGCTATTATTGCAATTTGTAATTAACACTCGGGTCATTTACTACACAAGTACTGCATAAAGGATGCCAGCCAGAGAACTTCATGAAAATTTGTCACTGATTAATCATGTAGGACAATTACAGTGGTCAAACCCATAACCCAATAACTCTTTAGAAAAAGCATTCAACTGTAAAATAGGCCTGACACTGCTACAGGTATGTGTGTGCTTAAATCTACCTGTGTGGTAGTTTAACTGAGCTGGCAGCCAAACAAGACACAGCCACTCGCAGCCCTATCCCCTACCTTGTTCCCCCCTTACCCAGGGAATCAGGGAGAGAACTGGAGGGGTAAAGGTGAGGAGACTTGTAGGTTGAGATAAGAACAATTTAATAATTAGAGTAAAATAAAATTAAAATAAAAATAAAGGTAAAATTAATATAGTAATAGTAATAATAACAACAACTATATATATTTTATATCTATATCTATATCTATATCTCTATGTGTGATGCAGAGTACAATTGCTCACCACCCGCTGATAACAATCCCGGAGGAGCGAGAAGGAACCCCAAAACCGGAACCACAATCCTGGAAAAGTGAACCTGAGCGATTCCCAAGAGAACTCCCCTGTTTCTGGTCAGCCCCGGTTAATATACTAAACATGCCGTGATATGACGTGGAATATCTTACTGGCACATCTAACTGTCAATTCTGGGGTTTACTAACTGCTACATTTTTCTTCTCCACTCCCCCCTTCCAGTCCTCTCTTCTTGGAAACTGCCAGCACAGTGTCCTTGTAGTTATCAACATTGTTCTCATAACAATCCTCACTGAAACCAAAACACAGCGCTTTCTAGCTACTAAGAAGAAAATTAACCCTATCCTAGCAAAAACCAGGAAAACCTGTTATTGAAAGCATTTCTAGTTCAAGCAGTAAGAACATAACACTGCCTGGAACACGCAAGCTCATCTTTACTAGGTCACATGTAGACATTTTGGCTGTCTACAGCTTCTCTTAAATAAGGACAGCCTTCCTAAACCCTGTGATTTGAAATATTATAGGGATAGAAAGGAAGATGCGTCTTAATGTTTTGAGTAGTTCAGCAAACAACAAGCTAATGCAACCAGGAACTGCAAAAATTCTGAAATTCATCAGTAAAACCTCAAATAACTGAGGCAGAAATAAATATTGCAATTACCTTTGCACACTGACAAAATCCAGTGACCTAGTTAAACTCTCAGTACCTGTTTATTAACACTTGTAGAGCATTTATTAGCTGAGTTTTGACTGCTCAGTTTCCCGCAGAGCGAGACCTAACCACCTAACTGAGGCAAGCAGCACGGAGGAAAAAAAGGACAGACTTCTACAAATCGCTATTCTGGTTTCTCTGCTTTTGAAACCAACTTCCAACCACAAAGGCACTTCCATCTCAGTACACAGAGGCCTTATTTATGGAATTGAAATAAGATTGTTGACATTCCAGAAAAGTTGCAGAATACACATATATCTTCACTAAGAAATGATGGATGACACTGGACTGTAGAGACATTCACTCCTAAGGATAACAGTGAAATACTTCTCCCTTCCTCTCACAGGAAAACAGGGCTTGAAGAAGGTGATAAAGCAAGTCGAGCAGTGGTAGAAAGCCATGCTCTCTGATCCACACTCATCAGGTAAATTGTAAAATATGCATCATCATAAACTTGTCTTTAAAAATATGTTTAGTAGTTAAAGCTTAAAATCATTTAAGCAAGCCAGTCCCACCTTCATGAGGGGCCAGGAACACATTTTAAACTTCTTCAAGATGTTATTTTAAACAGGATGTGAAGAATACAGCTTCTTGCTTGGGCTAGTCTCACCTCTAGACAGAATCAAGTCCATTTCTCCACATGCCACAACAAGTTTTTTTTAAAAAAAGAAGTAGATGCACCTGCAATTTTCCTGGTTTTAAATTGGCAAGCATTCTCCCTAGCACAACTCTGTATACAAGCTTTTAAGGTGTTTAAGGAACAAGACTACTGTAATTAAAGCAAATTGAAACAGAGCAATGGATAGAGAGATACAATACTTTTATCCTTAGCTCAGTAATTCTGCTAGCAGAGTGTCAAAGGTGTTTTTCCTACACTTATCCACCAATACAGATGTCCCAGCGTTTGACCTGAAAGGCCCTGAGATTCCACAGTGAGCTCACTCCACCACCTTCTCACTCCTAATAAATCAGATCTCCTCCACAAAGATAAAACAAAACTAACTCATCACCACCAAAAGTACCAGGAGTAGCTGTTTGTCCAAGTACCAGGCAGAGCAAGAGGCAATAAAAAGAGCATTTTACTCACAACTATTTTTTTCCCCAAAGCCCTTTTTGGCCAATTTTGTCTTCTTGCAGTCTAATTACAGTCTTAAACTTGAGTACTACCATGCACTTTTTCTAACACTTTGTGGACCCCTTTAGAAATAGGGAGAGATCCCACCTGGTGTTTTGGCTGATGCCGTTTCAATGGATTCAATACCAAATAACTCAGGTAAAAATAATGCTTATCAATGTGATAGGAACAGAGAAAAAGCAGAAAGAACTATTTAATTCTACAGGTTCAAAAGCAGCGACCCAGCATTGGGTTAGTAAGAAGAGTTTTACATACCTCCAAGGCAGATTTCTGTACCGTAATTTGGCTGTAGACTCTAGACCCTTCTGGGCAAACAGTCCTCAATTCCTCTTTATTAAGGGAGAAAAGCTGAGCACCCGTCAGCACACCAAGGCTGTTGACAGTCCTGGGGTCACACCAAGGGAACAAACGAGAAATAAGCAAAAATAGACTAGCCAAAGGAGAGAAACGGGTTGCCTTCATCTTAAATGATCTCAGATAGGGCTACTAAATCAAGAGAAAACTTAATGCAACGGAACTCTTGAAGTCAGTTCAGTATCTGTTATAACAAGTATCTTTTGGTGGAGGCTAAGATATAGAATTTTTTTTTCCTAAATATATCTATAGCTCTATAGATCTATAACCACATTAATATATATACACACACACACACAAATATATATGTATACATAAAGGTAAAAACAATTTTTTTTTTCCAAGCATGCAGCTGATGTGTCTTGATTTTCAGAAAGCTGCTTGATTTTCAGAAGTGGGCAGACTGCATCCTAATTACTGACAGAAAACTAATTTAAGAAGTTTTCTCATATTTGTTCTCAAACTTACACAGGGTTGAAGCCTTTGGACTGTAACCACGCTTTCACATCCTCAGGCGAAGAGTCGTATGTGATGTTCACTACTGGGATGTTTGGTCGTGGCACGTGGAACTTCCTCTGAGCAGCAGTCCGGCCAATGGTGAGCCGGTGAACGAGTTCATCCTGCACCTCCTCCATCTGTGATTTCCTGCCTAGGGAGAGAGATGCCCCAACAAGGAGTTATTCTCAAGGTTGCTTTATCAAAGCTACCTCATTTCTTAGAATCCTCTCTTTGCAAAACAAAATAAAAGCAAAAAACCCCCCCTCAAAAAACCCCAAAATTCAACTGAGGAGATGAGCTTGATGTTGCACAGAGGCAGAGATCAGTCTGATAGCACCCAAGCTGTGAAGGAAATGGGCACAGAGAAATAAGACGTTTGAAAAATATAAACAAAAAAGATGAGGAAGAACACCAGATTGCTGACATTGTGGAAAGGCAGCACTTTCCACAAACATTTATTTAATCTCAAGCTCAACTTTTTATTGCAAATCAATATAGGCAAATAAATTTCCCTGCTGCTGACACACATCACCTAACATTTCATAAGCTATTATAGTAATCACATATTTGAAGGGGCTTTAAGAAATCTGCATTCACTCCAGACTGGTTAGCTGAAACAATGTCACATTTCACTTTAAAATAAAAAGAAGAAAAGTAGTCGCTCTCGCCAGAGACGCAGGAATTGTTTTGTTTTAAAAAACAAGCTTTTGTACAAAATCTGTACAAATTTGCTATCCCACAGAACCCATTTGTATGAAGCATTTAATTCAGTTACTGGTCACTAGCAAGCAACAAACTGAAATGCTTTTCATGCATTTCAACAAAATCAATTCTAATGACACTGACAATAGTTTAAAATGCATATAAAAAATCTAAGAACAATTTAACAAAAATAGGTAGAATCTAAACGAGTGTAAATATCTTTTGGGGCACAGAAAAAATACTGATTTAACACAGTTAAACTCTCCATGCAGTATCTCTGGAATTACTATAAAAATATTCCAACATAGAACTTTAAGTGATCTCAAAAATTCTCAGGATTGCCTTGCCAAGATATTTTTAGTTCTCTTTATTCTACCTTCTCACTTTGATAGACAAACAGTAACTACAGCACCTTCTCTGACGCATTCAGATGGCAAAAGCTGTTCCTTTTCTCCCACTACACTGAGAGCAACAGAGGAAAACAACACAACTTCAATATGAAAAAACTGTAAGATAGCAGAAATGTTTCCTTCTCTACTTGCATTTTATATTTTCCCTGGATCAACATCTCTAGTCAGCTGAACCAATAAAAGACAGCTTTACATAGCCTTTTATGATTATGGGTTTTTAATCATTGCAACAAAAAAAGAAAAATCCTTGGTTTAGCCATTTTCTTTTTCCTTTTACAAAATAGCCCCAGGTTGAAAGTCGACAAAATAACTCTAGTAAAATATCTGCGGCATTCAGACCCTATTGCGTTGGGCTTTTTCCCCCCCAGAGTTTGAATCAGAAGACAAAATAACATGTGCTCAGTGGAAATGTGAAGGTCTGAGATGGGATATATGAGTAAAGCCTTTGGGCAATGTTGTTGAAGCATGTACCAGTTGTTTTCCCAAACAGGAAGAGAGCGAGAAAATTGCAATCTTCCTTCTATTTACAGAAATTTTGAAAGACTTATGTTTTATCTAGACCAAGACTATATCAGACAATAAATATTTAGCTGTTAGATAACAGATCCTTACTGTTGTTAGATGCATAACCATAAATAAACAAGATACTCTCGGTGTGAAGCAGGTACTCCATGGCGTGTTCTCTGCAGGGTTCATGTAGGTTCCTGGGCAGCAGGTAAACCAGCAGGGTTGCCCATTGCCTTTGCAGAGGCAGCTATTCTGCAAGGACTGGGAAGTACTTGAAGCCCATTAATTGGACTTGAGTGACAGCTCCTGGAAGGGTGCAGAAGCTCCCACATATGCCCTAGAGCCTCAGCAGAGGCTGAGAGATCAACAGATGTATCCAATTAGTCTACACCAACCCTTCACACCTCATATACCTGAAACCAGGATGGTTTTCCATGTGTAATGGATAGAGATGGCCATCGTGGATTCAGGGAAACACACCAGCTACAGCATGCAAAGTCCATCTTACACAGAAATAAAATGATCATTTTTCTGTCTGTGTGTGTGAAATTCATCCTTACTTTCCACATCTTTTATAACCACCCAAAAGGTGACAAAGGCAGACGCTGGCTCTACTGTTTCTTTGGGGAACAGCAGTGAAGCCTGTTCCTCCTGCCAGGCTGTTCACCATTTATCATTTCCAGCCAGCCAGTCTGTTATGTGAAAATACCAAAAAGGTCCCAGAGCCTTCTCTGAGTTCAGAGCTTAGGTGAGAGCTTGCCTACCACCAGGTAATGTTGAAGCATGCTCCACCAAGTGTGCTTATCCAAGCAGGCATGCTTCCCATCCAGTGGGGACAGAGAGGAAAAGAAGTCCTTCTGCAGGAAGGATTATGCTCCAAGTCAGTTTTTACTCAGGTGGAAGTAGAATTTTCTGATAAGGCAGGGGATGGGAAAGAGGTCAGTTCTTGAACTGCAAAACCCTCATTATTTTAACAGCTATTACTTTAATAGCTATAGCAAATGCTTGCTTACAAATTTCAGCTATTTTTAAGCCAAGCAATCACATTGCTTTAAGTGCATTTAGGACAGAAATTATGGATTGATGAAGTAAGTTCTCTTAACCTAACTTCCTTTTCAATCAGTGCAGAGCAGGAGCCTTGGCACTGGTTAGGTTTTATATTTACAAGGTGGCCTTCAGCAGAACTTCTCATGACCGCCACACACTGCTGGATGCAGGGCACCATGTCCAGAGAAGGGCAACGGAGAAGGGGCTGGAGAACAAGTCTTATGAGGAGCGGCTGAGGGAACTGGGGTTGTTTAGTCTGGAGAAGAGAAGGCTGAGGGGAGACCTTCTCACTGTCTACAACTACCTGAAAGGAGGGTGTAGAGAGGTGGGTGTTGATCTTTTCTCCCAGGTAATTAGTGATAGAACAAGAGGCGATGGCCTTAAGTTACTCCAGGGAAGGTTCGGATTGGATGTTAGGAAATACTTCTTCACTGAAAGGGTTCTCAGGCACTGGAACGGGCTGCCCAGGGAGGCAGTTGAATCACCATCCATGAAGGTATTTAAAAGACAGGTAGATGGGGTGCTCGGAGATCTGGTTTAGTATTGGATAGCTACAGTTGGACTCTATGATCTCTAAGGCCTTTTCCAACCAGGAGATTCTATGATTCTATGTTTTCCCAGACAAGGGGCTATGGAGTACATCCTCTCATCCTCCTAAGACAAGGACATGAAAGGCTGCTCAGTAGCATGCCAGTTGCTGTTGCCTTGACCAACCTAAAAGGACCTAAGCGAAGTCTCCTGCAACACTATTACAACAAAATTCCTATGCATCAGCCAGATCTGCAAGTCTTCTTGGATACATGCTTCAGAATGGTGCAAATGTCCTTGAAATATGCATGACCATGGAGAGAAGTGTAAAAACAGCCTAACTGATTTTACAAGCAATTTAGATTGTTCTGAGGCAGTGATTTCAGGCAGAAAATGTACATTGGCCAATATATCAGCATGGGCATTTGCAATGTTGAAAACCACTGACTGAAGATCCCAGAAAGCCATAAATGGAGAGGATTTAGGACTGGGACAGGTGCAGAAGAATTTTGCCCGTGCTTACTATTGTGATTAGAGAGGGTCAGAACACTCTATCTATACATAGAAAATGTAAGGATTCAGCAAAACACACAGGAATAGGAGAAATAATTTTTTTTCTTGCTTCTTAGACAAACTTACGATCCACAGGAACTTGCTTTTGCCTCTGGGTGTCTCGGGCAACACTGCCACCGCTGTCACTAGAGGTGCTGCTTTGGCGGCTGATGGTCGCTGGCGCTTTGGGCACAGGAACTGGTATGGGTGCTGGGGCAGTAGGAGGGAGGGGGACAGCCACAGGGACAGGAGCAGGTGTTGGAGGAGGTGAAGGTGTAGCAGGAACTGGATCAGGTTGTTTTGCAACATAGTCCGTCCTTTGTTTCTGAAAAGATGCAGAGAGACTCGGTTTGACAACAAAACTTGGGCAAGATGCCAGACAAACTCAGGTTTCTGCAGATCACAGTGGAGATGCTTTGCACCAACTGGTTTCATTTATTGCACAAAGACATCTTACTTGTCAGATATAGTTTCAAAGTTTGCCAAAACTTGATTCGGCACTAACGTTTGGCCTCAGTTTCCTTCTCTGTTAGACACAAAATTCACAGCAATGGCATCATCTGAAACACATTTCTTTGTCTTAGACAGATGAGTTCTATAAATTAAATAGGTTTTAACTGCCAGACATCTATTACTGGGCATTTTCAAATAGCTTCTAAAATTTTTGAATTGCTGCAGTATAAAAATGAGTATTTTAAAGATATTATGTAAAAAATAGTGAAAAATGAAGATATTCAGCCACACCTAAGCCTGACTGATAGTTTAACTTACAAACATCACTGAGGTTGGGATAACATATTGTTTCTTGAAATGTAGACATCGTTTAAGAGGTTCCTGCTCCTCCTACCCATTCAGTTGTGCTACTTCAACTATTTGTGAGATCGCTACACACCACCTCAATACAAAAATCCAATTGAAAACCACCAAAATACAAACTCTACAATTCTTAGAATACGACTATTGTGTTTCTTCCCCTGGCTTTATGCAATGTTCTAACAACATGCAAAGTATCTTGCTGGTAATAACTAACTGGTAAGTGTCTCAAGAATAATTTTGGGGAATAATTTCTCCTTCTTTGCTGTTAGAATGGCAGAAGTTACAGGAAGAGGCATACATTTTCCCAAAGCAATCCCAGTGACAGATGAGCACAGAAGCTCATACACAACCTATGCTACCCTTTTCTTTCAAATAGTTCAAACTCCACATCTCACTGTTTTAAGAGTGCTCCCTCCCTGTGGTTTTGGACTAACACAGCTTGAAAGCTTAATATTAAAGTTTGTTTGTTCAATAGGGATGCCTCATTTCTGAGTTATGAGAAGTCTGCTTACTTTGGGATGAAAACAGATGAATACATTCCCCAGATTCGGTACTCCTTCCTGAAATACCCTTCCCTGTTTCCTTGAAGGCAGAGGATTTATGGCAGATCAAGTAAGGAAATATTTGAAGGAGCCATATGTTAGAATCTGGGTAGCACATCACCGCCCTGACAATAATCAAACTTTCATTAAATGTCAGCAACTGCCCTTACACAGGAATCCCCAACTCAGTAAGTCTAACTGATGGTCAAGGCATTTTGTAGTGAATGTGAACTGGGATCATTACAGCTAAGCTCTGTTGAGTTACTCCAGCAGAAAATTTATCCCACCAGCTTCTACAGCCAGTCAATTAAGCCTAGGAAAGAAGTCTTCTGTATCCTTTAGATAATCAGATGATTGACTTTTCCATATTCTCCTACTTCAATGTTAAGACAGTAATTTTTAATTTTTTTTTTTTTTAAATGTCAGATGCCAGGAATAGTGAAATGCATAATATAAAAGAGAACAAGCAGAGTAATATATATTTATGAAACCTGTCCTTTGGTAGAAAGAGAGTGCCCTATTGGGTATATAGTAAATATACCATCATTTCTGATATACAGATGTACTATGGTATATCCAAAATCCTGTTAATGAATTAAAAAATTTCACAAATATCCAAATGTTCTAATGATATTCAGATTTTTTTAAATCTTGTTCACAGATGTCCTCACAACGTACCCTCATGTGTGCCCCAACCTTCTTCAGCAGCATGCAAGGAAAAAGCGGAGCTTTTTTTCATGGTAGAGAGGATTTATTACAAACCAAGGCATCAACTGCATACCAGCACAACCATAATCCAGAAAAAGTAGATAGCTAAACACTACATGTAGCTCTCAATGGATGCTACTAATGGAGTTTCAAAACCATGTTGTACTGCAATCATGAGCCTCATCAAAATGACTTGCTGGAGTGAAAATAAAAATTAAACTGGAAGCATCACTCAAATTCTAAATTTACAGATGAAACCACATTGAAATAGACTTCACATTTAGTTGAACAGTGCCCAAAAGCCAATTATACATTCAAATCACATTTAATACTTCTTTTTTAAAATGCTTCCTTTTTTTAAACTCCAGATCTTTTGAGGACATCCACACATTCATCCCATCACTTCTGTTCATTACTACAAACGAAACAAGCATGCACTACGGAATCTGGTGACTACATTGTCTAAAAGAGTAATTTTTGAGGTTCAATATCAGAAGAGTAATTTTGTTACCTCTGAAAGCTCTCCCAGCAATTGCTGTGAGGAAAATGGAGTAAATCACATGAAATAATATTGTTAGAAAGGCAAAAAGAAACTGCCTCACACATCACTCCCAAAATTTCACACAGATTAGCAATTTAAAACAAAAGAACATCGGTGCTAATAATTACCTCTTCTTACTCACTAAGCATCTCACAGAGTGAGTTATTCTCATTTTCTCCTTTTGAATAATGAGCAGAGTGTTGGCTCCAAAACATACATATGGGACACCATATATAACCAATGAGCTCTTTTCAGAACAACTTCCCAGTCAGAAACTTCAAAATTTTAATGAAAAAACAAAACCCAAACCAAAAACTGACAATGGATTGAAGATCATAAAATGAATATAAAGAACACTTGCAGCTGTAGAACAATAAGAATTTAGTCACAGTAGGTATTAATAAAAGGAACTTATTTATTTTAGCTTCAGAAATGTTGACTAGCTTAGAAAATTGGGTAAAGGTCACTGCTGACAGACATGTACTCACTAATTTGCTGACAGCCATCAGAACAATGAACGATTCTGGGTTGTTTGGGTTTTTTTCCTTGTATTTTTTTTTTCTTTTAAGAATAAACTTGCAAACCTTAACTCATGTAAATAGGAACAAATCCTTTAAATTATTTGGAACAATGATGATGCACAGTCATTAAAAATCTGGATATTCCAGAAAGGCTTGCTGGGACTAGTTTTGTTTTTTTCTTCTTTTTTTTGCCAGAAAATGTTTTTTATGGGAAAAAAATAGAGGTCCCAAGGCTCTTTTTTCAACACACTACAGGCTTTATCTTGTAAAAAATCAAGATTCACTATGATTTGATCTATTTTCAATGTAAGCAGAATAATAAGTCTGAGCAAAAACGTTGGTAGTATCAACCCTAATTTTTGATCATTGTAAAGAAACGGGGAACGATATATTTTCAAATACATTTTGGCATCAAAACCAGGGAATATGTGTATTCAAACTATTGCAAATACAGACTTAGCATTAGAGGCGTTGGATACAACTGCAGTAACATTAGTGATGGGAAATACTCTTCATGAAGTTAACAGACACAGAGCTTCCCATTTTCTCTCTGATCCTTGTAGTGTCACATTCCTGTTTGCTCAGTGGCAGAAGCTCACTCAGAAGGCTGCAGAGCATTCAGCCTCAGTTTTATTCAGAGCGTTGTGCTCTGGATGTTTTCTTGAGACTCACACTTGGGACCTCTCATTCTGGGGCATGTACCTCCATCCTTTAGCTGTATTTTAAGAGAGAAGAGAACCAACTACTTGTCTACACCCAAAAGGGACAATGAGGTACCCAACACAGGAAGAACAAATTTCAAGCCAGATCTTTTGCTGGAGTTTCCTTTGGTGGGCTCAGCTATTGTGCAGAGTCAACTAACTGCCTATTAAAATCTCATTACAAGGCACCTAACTAGCTCTTGGCAGGGTGTAAGGAATTTATGTCTTTATTGGATTTACAAACCCACCTTGCTAGAATCTTGGAAGAAGGTGAAATTTAGACAGAATTTACTTATTCACATTGGTATTAGCTAGGATTAATCCCCATTTCTTAAAAAAAAATAAAAAATAGGCAAACTGAGGACTTTTAATTCCTATCATTAATCAAATCCTTTTTACAACTATTCAGTACATATCTGTGTAATAAGTGGCATCCCATAATTTGTGATTGGATCAATGTTTAATTGGACAGAAAAAAACTTTTTTTTTTTTTTTTTTAAAGCCATAAAAAAAAAACTTGGCTGGTGGCAACTTTAAAGTGCATTTGATATGAATCAAAATAAAAGAGATACTGGCTCTTAGTCAAAAATTATGACATCTCTTTAGCCACTGCACAATGAACACCTGGCAACTGCATCTCTTCATTATCAAATACTTCATGATCTGCAGGAAAGATACCAGTTGGCAAAAGATGAGTATGGCAACAATGACACTAACTGGGAGCACAAATGCTGTGCTTGAGGGGAAACAACTTCACACAGAGAGGTTTTCAGCAAGCTGCTGAACAAAGAGACTTGAAAGAAAAGTTTTGCTGGTAACTCCCCAAGAAATGCAAAGGACACTTGTCCCAGGTCAGGTGGAGACTTTTGCTTTGGTGTTTACATACCATAAAAAGGCCTTTTAGATACACTGTCAGACTTCTGTGGACACTCATGGGTTTTTTATAAGAGCACAAGACTGCATTTGGCATAACATTCACTCTTTGTGCCTCAGGATTTCATCCACATCACTGATAATACAACTGTCTCACCTCTCGAGGGTTGTCATGAGATTAATTAACATGCTCACCAAGATGCACACCTCTATCCCAATTATGGTCCTCAAAAATTATTTTTCAAGAGCATTTTAAAAGTTAATAAAATGCAGATTAAGTAGGAAATATTATGATTAATTGTTTTCTAGGTTCACCAGCAATACTTGTACAAAAGAAGAAATCAGAGTGCTTGGGAAACTGTTTATGTTCATATATAATGGGGATGGGGAAGTACCACTGTTGGTTCATAATAAAAAGTCAGACTAAATAAGCAATACCATAGGAAACTCTGATAATCAATAATTAACATTAGTGGAAAATATAAAGAAGCAGCAAAATGCTCTCCTAAATGTACAAAAGTACCAGACAAGCAAAAATTTGTTTTTCCTGGAACTAATTCAACTGACCAGAAGAAAGACAATGTTACAGCCTCTGACTCACAAGGATGATAAAATAAGTAGGATATTGCTTGCAATGTTCCTGCAAGCATCATCTTAAAACAATTCAGTGCTTTCAAATAACTATCTGGGACCTAGAACCTGAAAGGGACTGAGAGAAAAAACAGGATCTCATCTAGTGTGTGGAGTCAGAGGTCACAAGGAGAGGGAATAGAGTAAGGGTAAAATAAACGTGGTAGCTCTGAGAATGGTTGTGATAATGAGGCATCCATCTCTCAGAGAAAGGGTGTCTGTCTGTAGAATAAGTGAATAAAAAAAAATATCTCTTTCAATGGAATCCTTACAAATAAACTGGAAACTTTGCTCAGTTGTGCTTTGAAGGCCATTAGCCTGTAAAGAAACAGACTAACCTTGTATATAACACTCATCTGCGGCAGGAGAGGGCCAGGGTGCTCACCACAGCAGAGGGACTACTTTCAAAGTAGCCTTTTGAAAATCAAAGACAACTTAAGAGACTGGCAAAAAATGCGTGGCACCGGGCGCCGAGCCTGCTCATGTTCAGAGTCTGGCAAAGGCACTGATAGGAACCGCTTCAATTTCCTGCTCTACCCACAAGTTCTCCTCTTTGACCTTGGGCAAGGCACTCATCCCTCCAATGCCTCATTTCTCTCTGAAATAGCAGCCATGTCTCATAGCGCTGTTATGAAAATAAATAGGGTTATGCAAACAGATCCCAAATGAACCATGTATCTATGACAGGGAAAGAAACAAATGAGCAGGCTCAGGAGTGCTAAAATTATAATCATCACCATAAAGTTAAGAACAACATTACTGGTAAAGACTCCCTTTATCCTACCTAATTCATTATATTCCTAAATAATTTCCCATTTCAAGCTCACATTTTAATATGATCAAGCAAGAAACAAAACAAACCATGGACTCTAGGGAACAACCTGCAAGAGGGCAAAGAAACAAAATTATCTTAAATGCTGTTCTCTGACCCTAATTTTCATAGGTCCTTGGAGAATGGTTTGTGATAATGTCATGTAGTTATTTCAAACAGAAAACTTAAAAACCTGCAATGCATTACAAAGAATAGTGTGAGAACCTCTGCTCAAAACTGTACTCAGTTCACTCAGAATTTCTTGGCAAATTCCAAACACACAAAATGACATGCACTAGAAGGGGAAAAAAAAAATAAAAAAATAAAAAAATTTGGTCTTTAAATTAGGATTTGAAAAAGACTCTAAATACATGCTTCATTTCACACACTGGCAAAAACCGTCATCAATTTAGAATTTAGAGCTTATACATTACTGGCAAACAATTAAGCCCACCAAGCTCAAGACAGGTTGGTCTACCACATTATTGTGCCAGAAATGGCATAGGACCTGTTTCTCAAGAGATTTTCCATATTCATGGCAAAACTGGAAATACTTCAAAAGCTGCAGCTTTCAGGATAGCTATGTATGCAAAATCCAGCCCAGCGACACCTTCGACTTTTAGATGAGTCTACAGCGAGACTGTCATCAGTAATGTTATGGCATTTCTTGTTTTTAATGAATATTAGATTAAATTAAATTAAATTTAACTTCAGGTTTCACCAGAAGTTTGGTTTGCATTTGGACTGAAAAAGTCTGATTCAGAGGCAGTCCTGGAATCTCTGCTTAATCCAAACTTGTTTGCCTAACTTTTCAAAATCATTAGATATGAAAGTGAAAAAAAACAAGCCTTAGAAAATGCAATCTCTTATTTTATGAGGCTCTGGCCCACTTAAATGTTGTCTGAAAATGCACATTACAACTTTATCCTGTATATCCTTACTCAGACAGACAATTGCACTGATGTAAGATTTTTTTTCAATATTTTGCCTATTAATTCTGTTCAATGTATACAAGAAACAACAATAACAACAAAATCTTAATTCCACACCACAACATGAAAGAACGAAAACCAAAATCAGGTCAGGAGAATAGAATGCTATTGATGTACAGGCATAGTAATTGAAAAATACCTGCTCTGTGAATTCGAAAGCAGAGACGTCTATTTTTTATTACTCCAAAATTACAATAACTAAACAAATTCAAGACTAAGATAGAGACACACAAAGGCAGAAAGTAAAAAGAAAACCGAGCATTCACTCTCCTAGGAGAAACAAAGTTGACCCTACCTTAAATAATTCAAATTCCTTCTTTGGCATCAACAGCTATCAATCCACAAAAGATATTTGCAATTAAAATAAATGTATACACATCCATTAGGATAGAAATTACCACCTCTAAGCAAATAAGCAGAAGGAAAAAAAAAAAACCTTAAAGGAAAACATTTTACTGTATCTCTATCAACTTTTTTCTCATGTTAGACAATGCAATACAGAAATCAGCCTCAGCCTGTACAAAAAATATAGATCTTTTGACATATCAGTGGAACATGCAGATATTTTAGCCTTGCTGTGACTCTTCTTCCTCCTCCATAAACACACATGCACACTTCAAAAAAAAAAAAAAGAAGTTTTACTCCGAAGGAGCGGATGGTACCTGGATGGTGCGGGTATATGCAGGCTCTGACCATCCTAGACTGCCTTCTTGATTCCTCAGAAGGTCCAAAATGTTGTTTGGCACAAAGCCTGTGCTGCCACTTTTATTCTGAACCTTCCACCACTGCTTTCTGTCATCCAGAATCTGAAATAATTTAGTAAATTAATTACATATTTTTTTCTGACTTTCCTCCTGCCAGTAGTTAGACTGTGAATCATTTCCAAACAAAACTATAACTGTGCCAGGTTCTGTGATTGCCAACAGATGTTACTCAGATGTCCCTAAGAAACCCCTGTAGGCTTCCTTTATCGTCGCCATCATTAATTCTACATGGTAGTATTGCACTTTTCAAAAGGTGGCTCTCAAGAAAGGATATGGAAGAAAAGCGTGTAACGAACCTCTGTAAACTCAGACAGCGGAATGAAAATCAAATACCTGTGCAGAGAGGTTGGCAGATCTGCAACCTATACGCTGTCAACAAAAGGAATAAGTGACTACTAACAACCCACGGAAAAGTGCATCGTTCTAGGAGAGCACAAAGTTGGAGAATGAGCACTTCTGAGTAAACAGGGAACTGGAACAGGATGGCCAGGAGAAGTCTGAGTACCTGCTGGGCAATCTCATACACGTTTTCTCTCTTTCTGGTGGACAGCAGGATGGCCACGAGCCAGCACTGTGCCCTTGTGGCCAGGAAGGCCAATGGCATCCTGGGGTGTATTAGAAGGGGTGTGGTTAGTAGGTCGAGAGAGGTTCTCCTCCCCCTCTACTCTGCCCTGGTGAGGCCGCATCTGGAGTATTGTGTCCAGTTTTGGGCCCCACAGTTCAGGAAGGACAGGGAACTGCTTCAGAGAGTCCAGCGCAGAGCCACCAAGATGATGAAGGGAGTGGAGCATCTCCCTGATGAGGAAAGGCTGAGGGAGCTGGGTCTCTTTAGCTTGGAGAAGAGGAGACTGAGGGGTGACCACATTCATGTTTATAAGTATGTTAAGGGCGAATGTCAGGAGGATGGAGCCAGGCTCTTCTCAGTGATGTCCAATGGTAGGACAAGGGGCAATGGGTGTGAGCTGGAACACAGGAGGTTCCACTTAAACTTGAGAAGAAACTTCTTTACAGTGAGGGTGACAGAGCACTGGAACAGGCTGCCCAGGGAGGTTGTGGAGTCTCCTTCTCTGGAGACATTCAAAACCCGCCTGGACGCCTTCCTGTGTGATCTCATTTAGGTTCCTGCTCTGGCAGAGGGATTGGACTAGATGATCTTTCAAGGTCCCTTCCAATCCCTGTGTGATTCTCTGTGTGATTCTTTGCTGCTCCCTCCCTTCCAAATGTACCGAGCTTTCAGGGGACCAACTCTTCCAGGAAAGGACAGCCTGTCACTACGCCCTCTGCAAACACAGCTCGTGTTTGTCAGAGCCAGTTATTTAAATACTACGAAATGAAGCTTTTAAAAGCAACATCAGAGAAGGCAGAAGAAACACACAAATATATTACTTGAGAGCATCAATTCATAAGTCAGTACAGAATCTCTGTTTATCTTGTCTATTATGCAAAACAAATTAATTGAGCTTCCCACATTAAGGGAGGTACATCAAACACATTGAAGTAATCATTAAGGACAGCCACATGAAAGGTACCCTCAGCTTTGAGTAGTACCAGAAATTTATGTTTTCTCTTTGCAAAAAAAATAAAAAAAAAAAAAAAAATTACCTCTACAATCCTTCTTTCATGACAGAAAGCTCACTGTTGTTTCTTGCCATAAATTCATACTTGCATTTGGCATACTTCTTGGTCTGTGCTTTGTTGTGTGCTTCATAGTTTCTGCAAAGCAAATATCAAACTATTGTTCCATGAGACATTCACGCAAATAAAAACACGGACAAAATGCCCTCTCTTCTGACAACCCCAAAATATTTAAACAAAAAAAACCCCAACCCAACCTACCCCACCATAACATGATGCTGCTGGAGAACTATCTATTCATAACACACTGATTTAAGTGGAAAAAAAATAAAATAAAAATTTTTAAAAAGAAATAGAGCTACATAGACCTCAAGAACTGTTAATCTTTATCAGCTCACTGCTTGCAGGATGTATAACAATTTAGATGAGCAGGTGCCCTTGTTTTAAAATAAACATGTATACTATATTTAGTCTGTTTTCCTACAGTAGGTTAAACAATCATTTGCCATATAAACAAATGACTATACTTACTGTATAACTGATATCTTGTGCTTTATATGAAACTGTATTTCTAGTGTTCATCATATATTGTTTCAAATAATAGATAAATAATTTTTTGCCATCAAAGCCAGTGGAATTAAATTCTAAAAAATGCTCACCTACTGTAGATCAGATCATAAGATACCATCAGTTCTAACAGTCTCAATTTACTGTATCAATTCAAAATGAAAAATAACTTCTTGGTAGCTACAAACAGGGCTCATTGTAGAACAAGCCATACCACAGTTTAACTCCCTGTCTTTCTGTTTCCATGTTTCTTTGACATAGTACTTCCTCAAGGTGAGAAGCCCCCCAGTCCCCTCAAAACAGGTCCAAAAGAAACAATAACTTTATTTACTTACTGCAAATTACACCAAATAACCCAAATCCATACCAGGTAGTAAAGTTAAAAACAAACAAACAAACAAAAAAAACCCAACAAAAACCCCACAAAAAACCAAACCCAAACCAAACAGATAATGAAAACATGAAGCAATCAATGGCTTGAAATGCTGCAGACAACATCACAGCACAGGAACACAAATGCAGATGGTGGTTGGTGCTGTGTAACCCTGGGTCCCAGGTGTGCCTGAGTAATCCAGTAGTTACCTAGCTATTGCATGGCTGTGGAGAACTGTCTCACTTGACTTGAAGAGCAGAACAAAGAGTCATATTTAGATTGCAAGAGTATTTTGAAAGAAAGGTAAAACACTGAAAGGGCTTAAGGAGAGAGTGAAAAACATGGGATGAACCCCAGCCAGCAGAATAGCTGTTATGAGGCTGAAAGATGTGTGAGTAATCCCAATTTTTTCTGACACTCACTCAAAATTCATGTAAGTTTCAAAATTTTGAACTTCTTTCTTACTATTTCAGGGTTATGACTAACGTACCACTGAAGGTACTTTTACTTTTAGGCTGCCTTGCCAAACTCATTTCAGTAACTCTGTCTTCCTACCTTGTCTGCACCTAATTACCCTGATCCCTTCACAAAACATAACTCAGGAAGAATTTTATAAAATGCTTACATTTCAGTTTTACTCCACTCTGTTGCAATCAACAGCAACATCCCCAGAACACAAGCCAGGCAGTGGCTGTACGCTTCTGAAGAGACCATAATTCCCCAAGCCCAGCTTAATGAGCCAAACAGCTTACTCAGGGCACAAATATCCTCAACGCTTCCCTCCATCCACCCTCCACTGTGTTTGTTTATTGCCTATCGGATTTGCTGTAACTGCTGCCCTCTGCTCTCCTCTGCATGCTGGAACAAGAGCCTGGAGCATCACACGGACTTCCAGGGTGCTTTTCTTCAAATGACAGTGCAAAACCAATCATACCACTTCAAAACAGAGAATCACAGAATTGCCTGGATTGGAAAA